AATGAGGTTGGTACGTGCGTGGGAAATATCAAATTTTACGGTGTAATTGTACGGTGTTACGTTCTTTGTGAAATTAAAATTCAACAGCAATTATTATCAAAAATATGATAATTATTTCAAAAATATTTTTTATATTAACACGGATAATAATGTTAAATTTAAATGGATTAAAAATATAGCGGAGACTCGAGGCTCTACTGTAATACTAGATATAATTCATTGCTTAAACCGCGATTACTCGATTTCACCCGAAACTTCCCGATGTTAGCCGAACGTTATCATACGAATAATTTTGATTTAATTAATGAAAAATATAACTGTTTTATTAATTATTCGACGAATAATTAAAAAATTTAAATTGGAAATTGTTGAAAAAATAATAATAATACGTATATTACTTTCATATGTGAATAATCAAATCTCAAATAAATGATAAAAAGTTAATTTCGTTACTTCGAAATTTCCTCAAATTCCAATACAACTAGAATCAAACGAGCGACTATAAAAGATTTAAAAAAAAAAAAAATATTCGATAAGATAAAACTTTCGAAAATTTAAAAAAAAAAAAAAGTGTCACAAATTGCGAAACTCGCAGATAAAAGATAGAGATCGTGAAACTTTTCGCCTGTGATAATCCATTATGGTCCACGACAAAGGGAGCAAAGACTTTTTGTTCGGTAATCCCACAGAGGATCGAGCAACGTCCCGTTGGAAAAAAATTTGTTCTCCGAATGGAACGAAACGCGATATTCGCTGGCTTATATCGTTACGTTATCAGATTTCATGGGGAGGGGGAAAAAAATAGCCGTTCGAGCGTGGTAAATCGAGTAACCGAAACGTTCGTTGAAACGCGTTAGACGCTTTGCTTATTGTGATCGAACCTGTTTTACCAACGGAGCCATTATTTACGAAATGGAGAAAGAAGAAAGGAGAAAGGATTTACGATGTCTTTGCTGCAACAGTTGAAACTGTCCGCTTTAAAGAACTGTCCTCGCTCTTTCGGTCCATAAACTCGATGAAAATAAATAGGAGTTAAGTTCGCGGAGAAAAAAATTTTTATTAGATAACAATAAAATATGCTCTATTTGAAAAATAAATAAATATTTATTCGTTCAATTTTAAATTTATTTTAAAGTAATAAGGATTTTTTCTTCAATTAAAATTTTTTGAAATTTGCATTTTATTAAGAGATATATGAATGAATGAAAGCGTAACAAATTAATCGAAAAGAAATATTCGTATTTTTTTTTTTTTTTTTTTTTTTTTAATAGTTTACGAAGAATTATGTATGAAGTTCCATTTGGAAAAGAATAAAGAATATCGCATATTGTCCAGAGAATCGTGCATTGCATATTTCATTGCATTGAATGTGTTTTTAACGAATCGGTGGCACGGTATGCATAAATATTCAACAGTGAATAATTTCATATTGTTTGCAAAACAGGTTATTTTTATTTCTGTTATTGGCCACTGTTAATGAACATTTTCACGTATCTATGAATATCAATTTTGAATCATTTTCATCGACGATAAACTCGCCAATGAAAGAATTTTAAAAAAAAAAAAAAAAAATTGATATCATTATTTCTAATTTTTTCTTCAAAGTTAAAAAACCTTTAATCCAAAGTGATAAAGATTAATTTTTTTATACAAAAATTTACATGGCGCACAAATTCAAGATAAATAAATTAAATTTTTTTCTTTAAATATCGACCAAACGTTACAAAATCAAAATCATATTTATAAAGAGATGATCAGATTAAATCTCCACGCGTAAATAAAATTCTTCACTATTTACGTGTATTCCTTCTAAATAATTCCTCTTGGAAAATTCATTTTGCCTAAGCAACCGAGCTTAAAATAAGCAACGCGACTCAAACTAATTTTAGGCCACAAAAGATACAAGTTATCCTGATTTCGAGCGGAAATGGATTGATTGGAAGCTCGCTCTTTGCGTAAGAGTGAATTTAATTTTATCAAAACTAATAATAACAACGATACACGTGGAAAATTCGGGGAATAAATCCATCTTTGTCGCGATTTATTCTTAATCGATATATAATTCAATTTTAAAATGTACTGTTAATATTATTGTTATGGAATTAGAAATTCCGAATAATTAAAAACAGTTCGAAGTCACGAAATAATAATGGAATCATCTCAGTGTGAAATTATAGTTCCAGTTAAAATGAGTTTTACTTCGTAATTCTATTCTATCACGACGAAGTTTGCCTTGTATCTACCACGGAAATTTAATTACAGTTATTTTGCCTATTACCGAATATTTCCAAATAAAGAATTTATTATTTATTTCTACTTTTATAGATAAACAGTGTAATTTTATTTTTCATGCGAATCGCAAATGAATTATTTTTTCATTGAATTAATTCCTCGAGATATATTAATTACAATTTAGAAGAAGAATTTAAGAACGATTCGAAAGATAAATATTATATTTAATTTAATTTTCTTTCGTGCTTTTTACATACAAAATTTCCTTAAAATCTTACTCAACGTTAAACAATTATTCGATTATTCTTTTTATTCAAATATCCTGTCTTATTCCATTTCCAGTGAATTTGTTCAACACATTGAGCATTTCAAATAAAATAATCTTTTAATACGCATCGAAAGAATCGTTTCAGATTCGATGAACACATTGACATTGTGGCGGCGCAAGACCTCCTATCCTCGAGCACATTTTGCATCCGTTTGTCACGAGTGCATCCCTTCCTCAATGCGGTAAAGGAGAGAGAAGATTTCACGGGAAGGTCTTCATAGATCGTGGAAATATAATATCTCGTGAAATTTCCATTATTCGAAGCCGATTTCGAGGAGCATGTGTTGCTCGTTGGAAGATTACGAGACGGGATCACTTTTTCACGAAAGAAAATGAAAGAAATGAACAAATATTGAAAAGAATTGCTTTTATTAAATGAAGAATGTTATATCTATTTAATTTTTAAATTATTTTAAAAGTAGAGATGGTAATAGGTGATTTTTTTAAAATTAAATTTAGTTACTTTTTTAGGGAAAAAAAAAATGACGTTTGTCTCAGAAAATTTTGAGTAATTGTAAAAAAAAAAAAAAAAAAAATGACAATTCAAATAGGAATTGCGTAAATAAAATTCGATGGAAGGAAATTTCCAGGAATAAGAAAGTTGTGCACAATGGATAACAATTTGATAAAAATATTATTGTATAATGTTCTTCGATCTTCTTTCAGTGATTTGTTTTGTTATGTTTGAGTAACTTCTCTTTTTTTTTCTATATAAAATAAGCAAGAATTTTAAAAAACAAGAGCACGAAAGGAATGAGGAAGGGAAACGAAAGGGCAGAGTGTTTGAATGAATTACGTCACATCCTCCCGTTTCTCCCGATATTTATTTACGTTTATAGATAAGCACGCACGAACGCGTCTCTGTACGCGTTTAAAGACGACAAGCATCGGTTAATATTCACCCTCCTCTCGATATCCTGTGCGAGAGCAGAAACCGCAAGGTCGTCCTCAAGGAATCGATAAGAGGGATGCTAATTTCAGTCGTTTTGCGTATGCGATTCTACTAACATGCGTGAATATATTCTATCCATAACCTTCATTATAATGATAATAATTAAATCAAATTTGTCCAACTCGAAACAATGTTAAAAAGAATTTAGTTATCAAATATATATCCTCAAAAATAAACTCAAAGATAATTCCCATTCATGATTCATTTTCTTGAGTGAAAAATTAAATAATGAGGGAAAAATAATTTTACAAAATGGGGACAATAATCTCTAAAATGAAGAAATTCTAATTTCCAATTTTTTTCCAAAATATATATATATATATATATATATAAAATAAAGAAATTTTTTAAAAAATTTTTTAAAAGAAAATAATTGTTTAACGGATATTATTTCCCAGGAATAAATGCAAAGTTATTCTTTCACGGTCCACGATAAAACGTACACCTCAATCGTGCGATGAAAATCCAACTACAATCGTGTGTTGCCGACAAACACGCGACTCCCAGGTAAAAACCGTAAGGGAACAGAGGAGAAGAATTTTTTTACAACCGGTAATTACAATTGCCCGGTAATTGGTGCATTTATGTGACTTTTAATTGCCGTTACCGTGTCCGCTTCGATGAAGCCTTTAACGTACCTTTCATTACCATATCGTCCACGGTACACTGTGCACTCATGCGATCTTGTGTAAATACGATCGTATTTTAACGAAGTCTATTGTAAACCGAATGGACAAAAGGAAATCGTTACGTTACACCGAGTAACAAATATTTTACGATACCGATGTGTCATTTGATCTCTGTTTTTTTTTTTTTTTTTTTTTAGCAACGATAGATAATTTTTAAGATTTTATTAAGAAAGTTGTGCACAATGGATATTTAAAACGTGTGGATAACAGTTTGATGAAAATATTATTGTATAGTGTTCTTCGATCTTCTTTGACTGATTTGTTTTGTTCTGTTTGAATAACTTCTCCTTTTTTTTATATAAGATAAGCAAGAATTTTAAAAAACAAGAATTTTAAAGCTGTAGAATGTCTTAGGAATAATAACGATTCGTAAATTAAAAACTATTATTATAGGATATTGGAAAGAATTAATTATATATATATATATATGCTAAGGTAAAAGACAGATAGGTATTTAAAAAATTGTTGAATAAAATATATTTTCTAAGTTACATGTGTGGAATTAAATTTTTCACGAAGAGCGCCTGTGTGTAGACAACCGTTCGTTCGATCAGCTGATCGCTAGACCGTTTAACAGGTTGCCTAAATACAGGCGTTTCGAATATAAAATCGAAACATTTATAACTCGAAAAATATATAAGCCTTTTTTTGTAATTTTATCAACTTTTATCTTTGTTTTAATGTTTTGAAATTATTCTACAACGTCTGTTTTCGCCGAGATTCTTTTAAATTTTTCATTTATTCATTATTGATGATTTCAATGAACCAATTCATACCGTTCTTTTCCCTATGTTTGCAGGAGTGCCAACCCGAGTTTCTTCACGATCTAGTGTTAAAAATGAAAGCTTATATATTCACGCCTGGCGACTCGATATGTCGAAAGGGGGAAGTGGCTAGGGAAATGTTCATAATAGCAGACGGGATTTTAGAGGTGATTAGTGAAACGGGAAGAGTTTTAACAACCATGGAAGCTGGGGACTTTTTCGGTGAAATTGGAATTCTTAATCTGGACGGATTAAACAAGTAAGTAACTTGAAGTATCCTATTTCGAAATTTTCTTATTTTAAATCATTTCGAAAAAATGTTATCCTATGTACGTATAAAATATATAACATTAAACGTGAAATATATATATATATAATTATCAGATTTTAACGAATGATCGTGCAAATTATAATGAAACAGATATTCACATATATCAATAACAATTAATATGAAATATTTAAACAAACAGACTGGTATGATTTCGAGCGAATTTATAATGGAATGAATAATTTCGATATTGAAAATCAATCTGTTTAATCAACATTAAGTAACATGATCGTTATTCTAATATTTCAGCTTTTGAAATGAATTAAAATTTAATCGAGAAATACAAAATTTATATTATTTTGGAATAACATTCGTAAAGAAAAATTTTAAGAAAACTCTCTATACTTTGGATTCGTTACTCCGTCCAACGAATAATCCATGTCCCGAGTTTTAAAATTTATCGAGCATAAATTGATACATTTACTTAAATACACGAATCCAAGCAGTGAAAAATTTGTTGGAGAAGGATTGGTCTCTGGTTGAAATATCTGGCTGGACGAAAATGCGGCAACAGTCGAAAACTGCAATCGATAAAACCTTCCCTCAACTTTGTCCGCTTTTTATTTTCCTCGCCTTCTAACCCTGACATGTATATAACTCGTCCTACTTTCTTGTTTCGTCATTCACTATCTCTGAACTCTTGTCTCAAATTTCGTTTCGCTTCGATTTTCGAAGTTTCTCGGGCGAAAGCAGAAATATGAAATAATACGAAATCGAAAAATCTTATTATTCCAATAATTATATTGAATATTGTTGCTCAAATTTTTAGAATTTTATAATTAAAAATTACTGGATATTCATCTATTCTTTATCTATAATTTATTTTGACAATTCAGTTCATAAATTTAACGAAAGTTCATTATTTATTTTTTTTTTTTTAGGAAAATACAATTATTTTAATTTTACAATTAATTCTCTTTTTAGTTTCTACACGAAGACACGAACCGGAGACGAACTTTCTTGAACTTCGAAGTTGTTTGAAGTGAGCTTAACTGAATTACAAAAATTAATAATATAATGAATTTAAAGTAGAAACAAAATCATGGAATTATATATTATGGAATAATTGATATATATACGAAATTCGTTGCATCATTGTCTAACGTAATATTATTGAAAAATCATTGTTCTATTACTTGTTAAAAACACCAATTTCACGAATTCATCGTCAAAATTATCAATATTGAATAATTTATACCAAGTAACACAATGGAATAGTACTCCGATCATTTAGGGATCCCTAGCTACTCGCTAAAAACTGTAATACCGACCGAGTCCCTTTAAAAATCTCCTAAAAAAATTCAACATACGAAACAAGAAAAGAAATAACAAAAATACAAAAATAATAAAAAATAAAACGTATATAATTTTCAATCCCAAGCTACATTTTAGATTCAAAAATTCGATAAATCATTATTATCTCGAAATTAAAGGCGCACAGCGGACGTTCGCTCGGTGGGTTACTCGGAGCTGTTCAGCCTCTCCCGCGAGGACGTGTTGGCGGCCATGAAAGATTACCCAGAGGCCCAAGAGATCCTGCAAAATCTCGGGAGGAAGCGTTTGATGGAGGCGCAGAAGGTTGCCAGGGCGTCCCGTCAGCCGACGTCCCCCGGCCACGACTCGTCCGACAACAGCACCGGGAAACGTATCGTGGACAAGCTGAAGAGCGACGTGAAAGGGTTGAAAAACGCGTTGAGGAAGAGCAGGCGGAACACGAGGCCCGAGGAGAGCCTCGAGCTGCAACCGTTGACCCCGAAGGGGCCCGCGTTGAAACGGCAGCAAAAGGTGGACGACGGCCAGGACCACCCGTCGGCCTCGAGCGTTCAGGAGGCGCCTGTTTCCCCTTTGGGCGCGGGCTTGCCATTGCTGGCCAGGCTGAGGCTGCTGAAGGAGAAGGAGGAGAGGGAAGAGCGTCGAAACCTGATGGAGACCCAAGCTCACGCGCCCGAGCAACAGCAACCGGGCCAGCAGGAGGCGCAGAACCCCATGAATCCCAACTTGCCATTTCTCCAGAGGATTCTGCTGTTGAAGGCGAAGAGCGATCAGGAGGCAAGGGAGGCGGACAAGGAGGCGCCCACCAAAGAACCCCTGCTCCCGAAGAACACGAGTATACCGGAGGAGGAGCAGCAACAGCAACAACAGCAGCAGGAACAGCCGTCGAGACAAGCGGTCAAACCGATCCAGAGGCAATCCTCGGCACAAAGTGCGGTGGAGCAGAGCGTTAAGCGTTCGCCGACAATTACGTCGAACGTGGCAATGGAGAACGTAGTTGGCAATGGGTCGAACGCGAAGAATTCTTGGGCGATGTTGAAGGACGCCTCGCTGACAAATAAGGAGAACTCGCCTCAGAGAAGCCCACCGGCTAGGAGGCTGCAGTTGAGGCAGAGTTTGGTCCACATAAGGCAACAGACGAAGATGTACGCGTCCGTTGACGACCTTTCGCCCGAGTATTGCGGCCTGCCGTTCGTCAAGAAACTGAAGATACTTAACGAGAGGCAAAAGTTGGCGGAACTCGAGAAGGCGGTGAGAAGCTCGAGTTTGGATTGCGGGGAGAACAACGAGATCGAGTTCGATGGGAACTTGACGAGAAGTCACTCGGAGGCTTGCGCCATCGAGTACGCCAGGAAATTGGAAAAATTTAATCAGGTATGCTTGCTGGGGTTTAAAGGGGGAAGAGTGAAAGGGAGAGGAAAATGGTAATTTGAAAGAAGATTTTTAAAGAAGAATTTTTTTTTTTCTTTTAATGAAATTTAGTGTGTTGATAGATTAATAGTGTTCGAAGGTAATCTTGATAGGAAATTAATGTAACGATGATGGTATGACGCGATATTCGAGATACGAATCCAGTCCTAGGGACTTTTGGATCGCAACACGTTATTGCTCGAATATCGATGCTGCATATAGTTGGCTAATAGTTGGTATTAGTTCCTGGGAAACTTGGTTGATACGTTGGTCGATCGTTGGATGGTAAAGTTCCGCCATTCAATTTCTGCGTTATACACACCTGATTTACTCGCTTCGTTCTATTCGGGCGGAACCAGTCAATAATATTGACAACCGAATCAAAATTCTTTCAACGTATAGCGGGTTCCAATTTTACTTTTATCTCGTTAATTATAAGTTGAAAGGTATTACAATTATTTTAATCCTAACAGGGGAATTATGTGGAATATCAATTATCAATTTCCAAGAATTATAAAAATGATAATCCAAAATTTTAAGATGAAATATCAATCAAATTCAATAACTGGATTATTAATATTAAAATTATCCAAAATGCTAATCAAATATCTGGATTATCAATTTTGAATTGAAAACTATAGAACACGTTCCAACAAGTATAAAAACGATCACTCAAAATTCTAAAATAAAAGTCTAAAAATAAAGTCTAATCATCAGAGTCGATATCGGTTTGGAATTTTTCAAAATTCCGCAAGAAACCCGTTTCCGAAGCGGGCGACAGATTCAAAATTCGCGCCATTTCTTTCTTCATCCGGTGAAACGCAACAAATGCAATTACAGAATCGAATGGCGTCGATATCCCCGACGGAGCAACTATCGCCCGAGAACGAGACTCTGGAGAGGCGGAACCTGAAGAGCATACTGAAAAAATTGTCGGCCGGAAGTAGAACCGGAAGCTCGGAGACCTCGGCGACGAGCACGCCGGACCGCGAGGCTGCCACCGCCGAATTGAGGAAATTGATGAGGGCACCGACCATAGAGGGATACGCGGCACGCCACTCGAAACTCTCGAAGAGCGTCACGTTTAACAAATACACGCTTCAGAGCCCACCGTCCGAGCAGATACCGGTTAATTATCCGATTGGCTCTCATTTGTCCGACACCCAAGAGCAGGCCTCACTGCCACCGCCCAATAAACTCAGTTTCCGTCCTTTGGGCAGCGGAGGTATCCTGCAAATGGTATCTCGGCCACGAGAAGAGGAATACCTGGGAGAGTTGGTGTCTGGTATCAAAGAGATCGTTAAGGGTCGTCTGGTGAGTTTTCTTTATCTATTTTTCTTCTTTTTATATATGTATATATATATTTTATTTATATCCAGTATAGTAAGGAAATTATATTATCGTGAATATGATATGATTTTATATATTTAGGTTTAGAATGTTATAAGGAATTTATTATATGTTATTTGAGAGTTATAAATAAATCTCGAAATTTTTGTATAGTAATTTTTTTATAATTGATTCTCTGAAAGTGATCCACGAATTATTAACATTCTGTATAAAATTAAAAAGGAAAAACTATATTTTAGTTAAATCATATACAAATTATTGATAAATGAAATTGATGTTTATAATAAATATACCAAATTTTTATTTATCATATTTTAAAAAAGATATAAATATATCTATAAAAATTAATTTTTACCATTTTTACCACTATTTAAATATTCATAATCACACCCTCCTATCTAAATATTAAAAAAACTGAATATTTTTCTCTAAAACTCTATGTTTAATTAATCAGATCAATAAAGCATAAATCTAAGACGATAATTTTTTTAAAATCTTTTAGAATTCAAAATTTCAAAGTATTTAAGATATAATCTTAAAAATACGCTTGACAAAAGAGTATTTTTTAAAACGATAAGATTTCTTAACTTCGTAATTTCTCTGTGAAAATTAGCTTCGAAGTTACCGACTTCGATACTGCAAAGTTCTCATGCATCATGTTCGCAAGAACTTTGCACTTCGACCACTTATATTTCGTCCTATTTGCTACTTCTTGTTCCAAGTCACTAATACGTTTACTTGTTACTATATTCTGTTCAAACAACGATAAAACTCCGTTGATTTTGCAAACACGATTCTATTACGTCGAACAATTAAATGATATTTGTATCACATAAATCATGTCGAATCGCATAAATTTCTATTTAGAATTTGTTATATTTAACAGTTTACGTTATAATTATTTTCCTAATTTATTCTAGGATTATTTTTAATTATTTTTTTTTAATTTTGATTCGTTTTATTAATATATTTGTGTTGTGTACAGAAATAAGTTCAAGAGAAAAATTCAAAGGAAAAAGAATCTAGGGGAAATACTGTTGGAAATGATCTCGCAAATACTCAAGAATCCTAGGGAAAAAATTCTAGAGAGAAAAAATTTTAATGATCACGTATCTAAAATATATCGATAGAAACCATGGAAGTGTATTAAATATAAATAAAAAATATAAAAATTTTTTTACAATTTGATGAACAAATCAAAACGCCTATATATATATATATAAAAAAAAAAAAGAAAATCGCTAAATCAATGTTCCATTGAGAAGAATTTAAATCAAATTAGTGCCAATTACAAGTTCAAACGAAAAGATCAAAAGAAAAAAAAAAAAACCAAGAATCTCACGATATATCAAAATTAAATCTTCGAACGAATCCTAACCTACAAATCCTCCAATATAACAATCCTACTTCCAGGAGGATATCCAGACCAAGTTCGAACGGCAGTTCACCTCGTTGGAGCTAGAGATTCGCAAGCGGGACGAGATAATATCCCAGCTCCAGGCAAGGATATTAGAGCTGGAGCAAAGGGAGTCGCGGAACGCGGACGAGTCCGTAGGCGACAGCACGGAGCACGACGCCTCGTTGGAGGAGGACCTGGACGACGACCGCGAGGACCATCCTTTCATGAGGGACGGTTCCGTGGACACCGTTCTGACCACCCAACCCCGCTACAAGCGTTCCTCGCCGTCCACCGAGTCCAGTTCCCAGAACAGGAGATCGTGGGAGGAGCACTCGGAGGAGGAGACGTTGGAGCTCCAAGAGTTGCCCAGCTCGATCGTTCCTCAACCACTGTGGAAGGACGACGTGGCGATCGACTTCGAGTCGAACAGCGAGAGCAGCAGATCCGAGGACGACGAGTTGGACGACAGAGCGGCGAGGGACAGCGAGAACGACGGGGACGACGACGAGGAGGCGGAAGTGAGGAGGCAAGGGCGCAACAACTGGGAGGTGGCGATGTTGGCGCAAGAGTTGGAGGCGAGGCGGAGGAGTAGCGAGGACGCGAACCCGGGCTCCTAGCGCATTAACGAGATCCTAGACGTACTGTGTTACCTCACGAGCACGTTGCACACGGAGGGCTGGTGCAACAGCAGGCCTGCCACCGCTGCTCGAAACGCAGCCCTATGCGAGAACGATTGCCCTTACCTACAGTTAGACAGCATGACCAGTTGTAGGGAGACGATGATGTGAGGGATCCGTTCCTTGTATTTTCTATGATTCGCCAAGAGATTCTGTGGGCCAATCTAATATGATCATCCTCGCGAGATGAGGTTAATACACGCGTAACAACAGTCGGATTTATGCGTGCGTTTAATCGTATCGCGATCGAACTCCCTCTCTGTGTACGTAATATAAGAGAGATGCCGGTTTTGAGAAGAGTGTGTAGAGATTTGGGATGTTGTTTAATTCTTAAATACAAGATGTTTGTTTTAGTATATTTTTTTTTTTCAAGATAACGATTTGAAAAATTTGTACATACGGAAATGTCTATTGAGGCTTATTTGTTAAGTTAACTCATTCGAGAGCATACCAAAAATCGAAGAGGATTTTTGAAAAATACGATCAAAAATGCAATGAAATTTATTAATATTGACAAAACAAACAAACGTACATTGAACGTGTATATGGAAAGAAATATGTGGGAAATTCCTTATTTTTTTTTTTAGAAAAGTTCATGACGCGATGTCAAAACCGCCATAGAATAGAAAATGCGTCTCATGACGCACATATTGCTGCTCTCGAATGTGTTAACAACATGTGTTAGATGAATCGAGAGGGATATAAAAATAATTCTATTCGCTTCATCTAAATTAAAATTTGTTATAATTAGACTGTGGGTATTTGTGCAAATTAAAATATTTATGAACATAATTATAAAAATTGAAGTACTTTGCTTTGAATATTTTTGCATATCATATGCATTCTATAGATTTTTCGTGCATTTAAATGCGTAAAAATCTACAGTCTATTTATAATTTGAAAAATAAGTCTCAATACAGAAAAACATTTCAGTATACTAATTTTTGTGTTTGTTTGATCTCAATCGATTCTCCGTTTTACGAATATATCAATACTTTGTATAATTTCTAAATAATTTAATGATATGTAATGTAATTATCTGTATATTTGTTTTCTATTCATTACTATTCTTTAACGAATTTTTGTTCTAAGAACATAAGTATGAATTTTCAATTTCGAAATTTTGTTATAAAATATAAAAATATCATGCATTTAAGGGTTAAACATCGATGTATTTTTGATTTCATTTAGAATCTTGATCAAAGAATGTGAATAGTAATGCTCTTATCTTTTGAGGTAAAATTTTCATTTTATTTGGCAATGTCAAACAAGTTATGAAATTATCGAAATTTTAATTTTGTGTTAGACGAGTTTTTAGTTGAGTTAGAGTTGATTGTTTTATACAAAAACAATAGTTTTACGAAAAATAAAATGAAAATCGGATATAGTCTGTAGCGAATAAAGATACAACTTCGTTTTTCAAAAGTTGAAGTTTATAGCGATTTGAAATTGTATACTTAGATACTCATATCTGCTACGAAGACTTGATTAAGGATTACGAATTTTAAAATGTTATGTTACGATAGAAACGAAAATAATTGTAAGTGAGGAGTAATTTTAATTTGAAAAATTGATTAATTTTTATCATTTAAACATCAAAAATAGTAAAATGATTCATTGCTGTTGTAAACAATGTATGGTACAAATTAATTTATATTAATTTTTATCTAATTTGCTAATTAAATTTATTTTCTAGTCACTTTTAAATCTATAACTTTCAGCAATTGAAATATATACATATAACATGTACATTCGAGGAGAAAAATAAGTATAAAACGAAATAGAATTTCGTTTATACATGAAAATATTTGCTCGTGGATTCAAAGGCAGCATGTAAAGTGCAATTACATTAATTACTTCTAAGCGTTGATAATATCTGTCTCTCCCTTTCCTCAAATCATTACGATATGATTTATTGGATCTAAACGTGAGTTTCTCTTGTCCACGCGCAAATTATAGATTACAATTTCGACTCGAACGATTCATTAACTTATTTTATCATCAAATAAGCACAATAAGTGGCTAAGTATAAGTATCCTCTTAATTGCAAGAAATATATAAATCATTGTAAACTTGATATATTGATAGTATATTAGGTTGGTGCATGAACGAATGAAATGTTTCTACAATATTGGAATTTAATATGCTATTGACAGAATTGAAAGAAAAAGAAATTTACTATAAATTATTATATTGAATCTAAACAAGATATTCATAAATTATTTTAAACTATAAAAATTTATAAAAACTACAATTCTTATATATATCCAGAAGGATACAATTGATCAATATTTGGATAAAATAAATAAAATTTATTTAAAAAATTTCATATACACCAACCTAGCATTTAATAATATATGTAATGTATATAATTTTTTTTCAAATATCAGAAATTGTCTTTTTCAATTATTAATGTTTCTTTTCTCAATTACTTTTATTTTAAGAAATAGGATTTAAAATTTTTCTTATATCCAAAAATCTTAATAACATTTTTTTATTCTAAATCACAAATTTAAAATTCAAATTTTGATTATAAATGGTATTGTAAATAATCACAGATGCCTGAGAGGATATTATACTTGAAATATCTTGAATTATAAAACATTAAGCACCTAAATGTGTAATCGTGTATACCAAATGGACGATAACTTATTAAACATTATCATATCGGGTATAGTTCCATTCAAATTCACGCAGAAGAAGAAATTATTCGAAATTAGATCCATGCGATTATCCTCTTTTCATTGTCTGCCTTAGCGACTATGAACTATGATATATACTTATTACCAATTCTACGTGAAATACGATTTAGATGTTTTATTTTTTTTGTTACAGAGCAATACATACCTCTTGTATCGTTTCACGAGATACTTGTTAAATAACGATTAATAAGATAAATTATAAATCTGTTATTACGGAAGAGATATATCTATTATATATACACATATACAGACAAACACATATATATGTACATATTCATATAATTTTAAGTGAACGATTTTAATTTCACGATATCGAGACATTAATTTAAGAAATCTACAAAATTTTTTTTAGATAGAGAGTTATGTGATCTATCTATTCATTCCATGAAGGATTTAAATTTTGCCGCTCATTTTTCCCTCACTTCAGTTTTTTCTTCATTCACATGGTTATTTTCATCATTTATAGAGATACGATATATTATGATCAAGAAAAAAATGAAATGATATTCGATACTACGATGTAACGAATTTGAAAAAAATAACCAATTTCGACGAAGCATGATACACGCATACACTTATACACGTATACACGGACACATAGAACATGTATAATTTAATTTAAAAAAAAAAGAAAAAACGACAAAAGTTAATGAAAATTATATGACGTATACTGACCAGACCAAGCTCAATATTTCTAGAGTCTTTACAAGATAAATAAATCTGTTAAGTGACAAATGACTATTAAATTAAGTAAGGAGAGGAAATCTATTAAGAAAACTTATACATACTAGCCTACAATTTATTTATCTATGAATGCGAGGGAAAAAAGCGCGAATGATGAGATATACATATATATAGAAAAAATAGAAAGAGAGAATTATATTATAGTGTGCGTGATAGAGAGAGAAAGAGCGAAAGAATAAAAGTTAAAGGAAGGGAGAGAAAGAGAGGGAGCGAGTGCAAGTGAGTGAGAGAGAGCGAGAGAGAGAAGAAAACGAAGAATGCATAAAAGGAAAGAGAACTAGTCTTGGAGAACTATTACGAAAAGCATTTTAGATGCTGATATGTACCTACTACGCGAATGAAAAGAGTATACAATAAAATAAACAAATGTTTTCAAACTTTGTGTATTTTTATGCAACCTGATATATAATCATAATAATTTTGCAAATTGCACATAATTTATATTTACTTTGATAAAAAGTAAAAAGAATTTCATTTTAATATCTTATATAATTGTTATAAATTTATTGTTATAATTGTTATAATCTATTTTGAGATAAGTATAATATTAAGTAATATTTAACAATATTTTTTTAAATATCAAATATATATTTTTTATTCGACAATGTAAGAATTATAATTTGAAAAAAATTCAATTTAAATTTTCTATGTATATTTTTTATGTATATACAATACTTATTTCAAAACTTTTTTTTATGTCATATATACATATAATATATATTATCTTGCTTAAAAATTTAAATCAGCTATGTTGTTCAAAATATATTAATAACAGATGTAATATTATCACAACAATTTTTATTAACACTATATATTTAAAGATATTTGAAAATAATATCTATATCAATATTATACGATACATTAATTTAAAATTTTATTTCTAAATTATATTGATACTCACCTCATAGCGATGCTGTTAAATTTTAAATCGTAATTTACAAAAAAAAACAAAATATAATTAAAAAGCGAAAAAAAACTTCTCTTTTATACACTTTATATCATACTTCGTATAAATCATATTTAATATAATATTTTCATATATATTTTAATTTATTTTCAAACTTTTTAATACAAAATGATAAACGTATTTTATTACACAATTCCATATTAATTTCGACTGACATTTTCGATATTCAAATCGAGCGCACTCGAAGTTTTCGATTTATATCGAGTGCAACGTACACCATTCGATTTCGAAGTAGCTACATAACCTTGAAATCATAATAATAACAAAAGCGTCGCGACTGAGTTTTGTTATCAAATATTACGTGTGCTATACCTCGTTCCCGAAAACGAACTGTTTTGTTGTGATGTGGAAAACGTGATTTTATTTATAATTTTTAAAGGATGGGCGACATTAGAGCCGGCCTCGAAGAATTAAAACTTGACGGGGCTCTATTCGCCGATGTTAAATACTACGTCAGCGGCGAAGGTGATCCTAAGGTATGTCATTTCATCGTTTCCCGCGTTTTTCCTTTACCCTTAACATAATGTCATTAATTTCATGATATTGATATTATTATATTATAATTATTGAAAATAGTAATCTATTCACAAATACTCTGAATTAATCGCAATTAATACGAAAGAGGTTATAAAATGGAGTCAAATTTAACAGACTGCATTCCTTGAATATAAAGATGAAGAAATTTCTAAAAAAAATTAAATTGTATAATTTTTTCAATATGAAATAAATTGTTATATTAGATTAAATGAATTTTATTATTAATATTTTCAACAATAATTAAGCAATACATATATTTTTTATCAACAATTTTAATTTAATGATTAAAATTAATTTATAATTTTAAAAAATAGGAAAATAAAAAAAAATATAATTAATAATTTCATTATTTTATGTATTTTTATTTTATTGTTTTAATTTTTAGGATATAAATTACAATTATATGTTGTTTTAACAGTAAAGCAAAAAAATGTTTTAAAAACAAACATTTTTTTAATTATTTTCAGATTTTAAATTTATTACAAGAAGGAGGTGCAGAAAGATCAAATTATTTTAGTGATTTTGTAACACATTTAATAGCAGGCTATGATGCGTTGGAAAATGATATATCTGCTGCAAAGGATATCTATGAGATACCAGCAGTTACACAAAACTGGATTTTATATTCTGTCAAATGCAATAAACTTCTGCCGTATCCTAATTTAAAATTTTATAATCTAAGAAATATTAAAAAATTAATTCATCAAAATATTAGTGTATCTTTTTTAGTTTTTAAGAAAATTAATGATAATTTTTTAAAATAAGATTAAATAAGAAAAATTATTTTCTTATTCATAATTTAACTGCTTCATCCATTCAAAATTGATTTATTTCCTTATCAATAATATTATTATAGGCCTCATTATTTTTCACCTGAAGATACACAGTTATTTTCAAATGTTCGAGCATGTATATCTCAAGTAAGCCGTGCAGATAGTAAAAGTCTTTGGGCAATGAT